AGTATAAATCACGGGATCTTTCATGAATAAAAATAAAACCTGTGATTTTTACTAATTATTCGATAAAATAATAGTGAAATTTCAAAAAAGTATTGCGAAAGTTATTAACAGCTTTGGAGATTACTTACTACAAATTAAAATATTTAACCTTCCTTCAAGGATTCATTGTCGTACTATATATACTACGGAAATACTTCTTTATCACTAAAACACATACAACGGATGATAACACATTGTATCGGCAATGTAAATAAACTAAGCATGGTCGAGTCACTGTTATATCTAACTTTTTCATACAACCAGTAGGTGCTACTGTTTTGTGAATAGAAATAGGTATGTATTATTTATATTATAGTAATAATAAAAATATATATATTTTAATAAACATATAATTTAATAACAAAGAAATATTCTCATTTAGAAGTTTTTTTAATGTAGGTGTATACTTACAAAAGAAAATAAGTTTACTTATTAGTTGTCTGGAACTCATAGTCATAGCCCAAACCCAAGCCTCACTTGGTTTGGAACTACATGGCCGCTGTGTCAGTTTCAATAATTATCATAACTGTAATTGAAATGAGGCATCATTAAAAATCCTAACCGAATGACTGTGGAATACTTTGTATATATACAAAATTGTTAAAACACTCCACTAAGCCATAGAATTCGCTTTGAGTGCAATATAAATTGCTGTTGTAATGCATTAAGTAGTTCCCACCTACAAATCGAAGAAAATGCATTAGAATTCGTCACAAACCACTGATGTTAAAGATTAGGAAATTACAAGTCTCGCTCCATATCACATAGAAACAAGAATGAATTCTAGACAATTTGTAGGTACATTGTGTCTAGAGCATTTGATCCTATCTGTGGTTCAGTTGACAACCTGTTACCGTTTATTGCAATTGTCGTCTTATCTTCACGCTACCGCTTTTGAGTTCAAGGTCTAATTATCAAGTATGTTTTTGTTTTTATGTCTATTTAAGTTTTATTAGAAAATGTCGTGATTGCTTGGTGGTTTACTAGTCGCAACTTAGACTTGTAGAGGTTGTGAGATCAAATCTAAACTACAGAATAAATCTTTGCATTTTTCATTAATTCTCCGGTGATATCAAAACTCATAACAAACTAAACTATTCCTGGACCTAGCTGAAGCCCCTGCTACTGAAACTGAAATATGTCGAGCGAAACGAGAACATGTCAAGTCTTGTGTTCACCACTATAGTGAGAATTGGCAAGACCTCTGATTGTACCACCTGGGATGACAGTCGTAATATATATTAATTATTATATTTATCAAAATTTTATGTAACATAAATACTAAGTACAATTATGATTTCACACTTATTGCTTACTTTAATTTGTGAAATATGTAATCAATAATAAGGTTTAATTTAATTTGTGTCATTGGATTTTTTCATCTCAATCCAAAGGAAAATGAGGCAAGTTATAACTAAAAAAGGCAATAAGCGAATGCCCGAGTGGTTAAATTAACCCAAATATAACTTTCCATCGGTATTTAATAAACGATTAAAGAAAGAAAGTAGCTCTTAACGCTGATATGTATGTTTATTGTCGATCTTAAACTTCCAAATATTAAACACGTTATAAATAATTGTAATTGTTTATCGGTGAAGTTCATTAAATAATTCTTCATTGAAAGAAAACAAGTTCATTAATAAACCTTTATGTTTCATTAATAAACTGTTTATCCAATATGTATGATATTATACAATTATAGATATTATACAATTCACTAAGCGCAATTTAGTCCCTAGATGAAGTCCCTAGGTAAAGGGACTTTATCTGTCCCTAGGTAAAGATTGTACTACTACTTAACTACTACAAAACAATTGATAAACTGGTATTACTACGAAGCAACTGAAAGAATTTTATACGTATAATTAGTCAAAATCACGAGATTTTACCACGGTTTGTTTTTATTGAGTTCCCGATATTTGGGCAGTGTTTCAGACTCCTTGTTCAAGGGTAAACTGAAGAGCAGCGTGTAGATGATAAATAAAATCTTTTATGGGCAGACATATTCGTCTATTATACATATAAATAATGACCGTGTCAAATTTAAAACAATATGTATATAAAGCGATAGACATAATTTTTTTTTGGAAAATTACTAATAATCATACAAGTTTGAATCGTGCTAGAATCGAACACGTGACATCGGAAGTAAGACTGTGAGCTGAACCATTTATTAAACATATCAGTTGTATAATTAGAACTGATGCTGTTATTATAGAATTATATAGGAAGGTAACTAAGTACTATAGATACTTCTTCTTTCAACAAAAGTTAGCAAAAATTTGTTTCAATTATAATTTTCATTTACGTTTTCTTAATTTTTTACTAATTTAAGAATTGATGTTTTGATACTGTTTATTTTGAACCAATATACATATAGGTAGTTGACGGAATTTTTTATCATAAATTTCGTCAACTACCTATTTATAAAATTTCCTCGAGTATTTGACCATTTAATTGCCCAATGTACATGGGATACCAGTACCAGTTCTAAACAAGTTCAGATATTTCCCAACCTTACCGACCTTGATACATGAACGGTATCAAATTAATGTCTGTTCTAATATTGCAGCAATTTCAAATAAAATTGCATATATTGCAATATTGCTAGAATGTGATTAATTACAAAAATGCACATATGTAGGTAAGTATGGTGGCGAATATCACTAGCTTAGTTAATATTATTATAAATTACATCAATATTTGTTGAATTTTTGTATGTAAATTTATACGTATTGTATATTTTTAAATCGGTAATAACGATGCACCCGCCTGCGCTGACGGTACACGCCGGGATACCAAGGGAAAATAATAGTATCAATCAGGTCAGCTAGCCTTTCGCCCATTACTTTCCGTGTGGAAATGGACATAAAACAGTATATTACTCTCAATAGGGCTACTTCTAATTTTTCCTAATAACCCCCCTTTCCGCCCCGTGTTATAATTGATGATAACTAATGTTATACACTCGTAAATAGAATAAGGCATAAGCAGGGTTTGTCGTTAAGGGGATTATATCATTGCAATATTATTCCATGATCTATATATATTATAAAACAAATCTTCCCGCCACGTCTGTCTGTATGTTCACGATAACCACAAAACTACTGAAGTGATTTCTGAGGAAGGTTTAGGTATATAATTCTTTAAAGTTTTGTATAAATAAATGTAATTTAATACCCGTTAGACACCGGGGCGGCTTATTATATGTATGTTTAAAAATATTTTTGATTCAAAAGATATCCCACGTTTCCTTATAATATTTAGCATACTGAGGTATTAAAACAAATTTGGGTGAAACGTTAACAACCTCCGTTTAGATAACATTGTATGAATAAATATATAAACGTGATATCACACAAATACAAACCGACTGAAGTATTCTGTGGTAGAACCTTCCAGAAATAAACTGGTTACTTGTTTATGTTACTAGTATAATATACCAATAATATGTTAATTCTATACATCGGGAAGCAGTAATCCGTTCCTGGCCTTATTATAATTTAGGGACCTGATAATCAGTGCAAATACTGATATTCTGTCTGTCTGTTATATTTTCACAATTAAACAACTGAATTGAAAATTTAATTATATCACATAGGTTGACATAGGCCATCTTATATCCATAAAAAATAATCTGGAAGAGGTAAAATAGGGGACTAAAGTTATGTGCAGTCGATGTCAGGGGTAACAGCTAACGTATTTATATTAGTCAGCATTTGCAATTACCATGACTATGTTCGAGAAGTGCAGTTTTTTATAAAATAAAACTTGATCGCATTTGAGTATGAACCGCCGTCAATTTAAAAGAAACCAAAACTAAATATATACTTGTCAGATTTTAAGAAGAATCTTATATTTAATGCTACTTTTCAACTTGACTGTTTAATCGAGCATGTCCATTGCCTCGAGCGTCACGAGTGTGTACGTAAAAGGCGCTCGACTTTCACCGTGGGATGAGTCTGCTTCACTCGACTTCATGTGGAACTAAGTTTTTTCTTTCTACTCGGGCTCGAGGTTACAGTGCCTCTTTCCCATAATTGTTTTAGTAGGTAACCTATTAATTCTTTTTACTCACATGCCAAAAAGGAGGGTAATGTTTTCGGCTGTGAGTATATAAATGTAATGTTTGCAACATGGTTGACTGTTAGAAAATACCTTTACGTGTTATGTTTGCAATGTTACGTTCTGTATGAGTATATGAAAGTTCAATACACATACAAATATCGCGCTCTCTTATTACATTATTACAGTAAATCAAATATTTAAAAAAATCGATATAAAGTTTTAAATTCTGATGTTGTAATTATAACTTTAGACTAGATTCATTTGTAATCGTGGGAGTAGTACATACTTCTGCACTAGTATCTGTCTTTTTTTATATTTGAATGTTAACAATACACCACGCACCATAGGCTATAGATATAACAAATAGGAAATTTGCGTAGACATAAATAATATAGATGTCTTTCGCTTGAAGAATAGAGTTACAGTACTGACTAGGAACTGAAAATCCAACTTACAAAATCAGTTTTTTAACTCGTTCCTATAATATAATCTATTAGATAACTAGTTATCTGTATTTGTTTTATGAGTTTATGGCATATCTAATCAAAGAACAGTAAACATTAGGAGCACTTTTAAACTACTGCACCTAGATATTTAGAGTTGTTTCATCGTGTGCAAATAAATACGTTTATTGAAAAAATATATTTTCAGCATAGTCATGAAACCAATACTTATGCAAATTCTCATGGAATCTCTAGAACTGTTTTGTTGTGAAAGTGGAACGGACTAACTCACTTTCGCCTTTATCTTATTAGTAATTATTACGTATTACATATACTTGAATAGGTAAGACCAATTATACAGTAATTGTAGAAGTGGATATGATAGTTAGTTTAGTTAATTTGCCACATCAATTGTACAAATTTTAATCAGATTGTTTTTCTTTTTTACAGATTAATCATCTGAATATTATGTAAGTACCTACCTATTATTTAAATAATATATGTATAAATTGTAACTGTATAATGAAATGGTTTTGAGGAGAACTGAAACTAATTGGAGCAGTTTAACGTATTGCCTAATCGTGCGATAGCTGCGGGTTCGATCCTCGTCTGTAAACTGCCAGTACATAGGTACTATCAATTGTTTATTATCTATATGACAAGCTTTACTTAATATGATATTGGTTGGTACTGTAATAAAATTAATTTATATACTATATTCAGAAAAATTATTTATTATGATTTATATAGTTCGAGCCATTATTTTTAAAATTTGGTTTAATGTTTCTAAATAAACTAACTTTTCTTCTTGAATTATTAATTTATTATTTATTTTGTTTATTGGTATACTATAAATTTTAGAGAGAAAAACTGTTATATTTTTTAAATTATTATATGTTTTTAATTTATGTGAAATCACAGTAGAAACCACAAAATTCTAGAATTACAAACAACCGACCAGCCTTGCATCAATACCAACAAATTAATTTTTAAAATAAACTTGTAGAACTATTATAGGCTATATTATATTTTAGTTATATTATAGGCGGTGCTAATTCTATTAAAAAGTATTATTAATTACTCTGTGTGAGCATGAAAAGTTGCTGAAAGTGGTCGTCGTCACTTACTCGTATGCGCATATCAACAACAAAATAAAACATTAACAACCTATTCATGTTTTATTTCGATTTAATATTTCTTTTTCCTATGTTAATTTTAACATTTTTTTAATAAATCGTTTTACATTCCGTAATATAAAGACATTTTTTTTTGCCTGAAACGAACAGTCCACACTACACCTCTCACGCATTGTCATACATGCATAAAATGTTACGCCTATTTATTAATGATTACTTTTCTTGCTAGTTACATATTGGTAAATCGCTATTCTCGCATACTAAATATTTGTCAATTTACATAACGTACGCAGATCTTTACACGTAATTTCATCTTGTTGCTTGATTAGTACGGCACCGGAATGTTACTTAACACATTTTTGAAATATTTGATGATGCAAGAAGCTTGAACATTATTAAAAATAATCAACTCGTTAAATTGAGAATTCTTTTTGTAAGGATGATGATTTAACTGTGTTGTTTTTTTGCGTATGTGTAATGATAGAATAATTCTTATAAATTGTAGTGAATTATACGATTGTTAATACTCCAAATAAATAGGGGTTCGTCTCGCAGTATGTATTTAACCGTAATTTAATCTAAAAAGCACATTAACCACTCTGTAATAAAAGTGACCCAAGGATGTAATAAGACAGAATAGACCTCCGAATTTGCCCCCGTATTCGTCGTGTAAACCTGTAAAGGCCAGCTGCGCAACAACAATTAGAATAATATAAAAAAATCAGACATCCTTTATCCTGTTATTTGTAGTCAGCGCAGTATGCCATCTTGTTCCTTTATTTACATTAAATATTTCTCTTAGAAAGCGGTGTGTAAATCGAACACTACACTACTACTATCACCTTACTTGTTTACAATATTTTTACACGAATGTAAATTCACAAACATTCCCACAGTAAGTGATTATTTATTATATCACAACGTACGGCCATATAGGTTTACATAGTTCGAAAACGTGTGAAATATAAACACGCGAGAAAGCAGGCTTCAGTAAATCCACACTGTTGACGCACGTAATGCGAAATAGTTGTCCGGTAACTGCGACCGCCTGAGCTTTCCATAGTGAATAACCATCCCACATAAAATAATGAAAATATTCTTAATATGACTGTATATTTTACGTGATATCTTCACATGTATATTCTATATCGACACTCTATGTATCATGTTTTTTAAACCAGTTATTCTTGTGTTGTATTTATACTCAATATGTGATAATTGAGGGTTTATCTTGTTTTGAGGTAGGGTTGAGGTAGGGTTTATTTTGATTTTCTAAAGTAATTCTAAAATTGTTATCTAGTGGTAAGAGTTTACGGTCTGTTAGTCTCATATTTATTATGTCACGAATAAAACATTTAAGTGTAATGTACCTTCAGAGGTAAAGGTCTTTTTTACTTACATAACAAACGTAAATATTTGATTTGTATTATTATTAAAATGTAAATATTTTATATGTAGATTTGTAAGATTTTTATTACTCCATCAGACTAAAAATATACAGATATGTTATATCCCCAGATTACCGTGTAGACATTTGTTCCTTTAAAACTCAAACGAAATCATAGGGATGCATGCTATTCAACTACTATACACACTGTTGGTACTAATAATGTATATAATTAGTATGGAATTAAAATGTGTTTTGTAGACTTAGATACGCCTAAATTATTAGTATAAAATAAATGTAATAAGCAAATCGAAAATAGTCTATTAATCTGTTAATTATGCTTATATTGGTAGATGTCATTGAAACATTGAATCTCTAAATGCTAATGAATATTATAAATTTGTTTGTAATCACATTACATTTTATTACCATATTGATTTTTATTTAGATGAGAAATTTTATTAGAAACCATTTTCGGCCAAAGTTATTATAAAATGGAAATACTTATAGCTTTAATAGAATTAAAAATACAATATTTTATGTATAAAACATTTCCGTAAATAAACGTGGCATGTTAAGATAAGTAAAGTTTATTTCTTCCTCCATACTTCTATACTAATATTAGTTATATTGATATAGAAGTATAATATAGAGGACTATTATTATAACTGTGAAACTGTATTTGTCTGTTTACGACTAAATGGCTGAACGGATCCTAATGAAATTTGACTACAGAAGATAGATTATATCACAATACATTCAAAGGTCTATTATCTCAAAAAAAGCAGACAATGTCGGGAATAACAGTTAGTATAATGTAAAAAAATATTAAATATCCCATAAGCTTCTTACTATCCACGCATCACGACACTGTATCACACTTGTCATGAATGCTAGTCCGGTAGGTATTCAGTGAAAGTTTCTGATGATTCATTTATTATTGATAACAACTATGTTATTTTTCATGTATTTATCTCTCTTAAATACATTTTTATAACATTTTCAACATAACAAAAATATTTTAGGCAAATAATCTTATTCTAAATTATAACCAGAAATAGCCAAAGAATAAAGTAGGAACTATCACTCTTATGGAATCTACAATCAGTTCAGTAATTTGAACTATCATTTTCATTCCTGCGTTGAAAATGTAACAAGATCGCGTGTGAAGAAAGTTAATTACCTACTGTAGAGTAAATTTTACTTGTTAATTAATTATCGTTTATGTCCATAAATTGTGTTAATATACGATTTTATTAATCTGTAAGTGTAGCAATTACAGGTGTGTTTTGTCTATAAAAATTCTTTTCTTATGCTGCGAAATATTTTTTTTTTATACTCCATGTTAGTCTAACAAGACGAAGGAAATGTACACGTATACTTCCATCGATTATAAATATTACATATTTTAACAACGGAATGTGAGTATGCAACTCATGATATGGTAAAAACATTTGTTTAACTTCTTAACTTTATTGGTTACATTTACAAATTTTTTAACAGAAACTTTCTGTTAGATATTATTTATTTACATTCTGTTAAATTATTTCCTCAGTATACTTAATACTAGCTGTTAACTGCGACTTTGTTTGACTTTTTGAGTTAAAAGATAACTTATGTCCGTATTATATATTTATCTGCATGTCAAAATACATTAAGGTCCATTCAACCGGTCAGTAGTGAAGAGCCAACAGACATACACATTTTCAATATTATAAATTAGTATAGATAAATTCAAGAGCTGAAAACACAATGTAAAACAATACATTATTTTCAATTTAGGGTATAAATTAATTGTACGGAGCAAAGCAGGTCAACAGAATGTTGTTTATGTAAACGACTTCACTATTTTGGGTATTTATAGGTAATTTTAATTTATTTTATTAACACTAGGTGGTGTTGTTTTAAATTTTAAAACGCGCTATTAAGCTGTTTTCTGTTTTAAATACCTGTCCATACATTACTTAAATAAAAAATCTTATTCCTATTGAATGAATTCAATAGAAACATTCTAATCTTCTTGATCTCACCTTTTTGAACTCACGGTACCGAGTTCTTCATGCAACTTCATGCTTTTGGCATTGGCGATATCCATACGACATGTTTGCCAAAGATCGTCCCTGTTTTGTGCCTAGTTGTTAATCTGTAACCACATTTTTTATAATACCATGACGAAGTTAGGCTTAATCTTATCGAGAGCATAACAACACGACAATTAAACTATGTTAGACACAGGTGAATCTTAAATGATGCGCACGGCACTAAACTATTTTTATTATCCGTTGAATTGGGACTGGTTTGTGATTAACTAGTTCTATAAAAACTTGATATTATGATGTCGCCTATATTTTGTATTATATATTATGTACAGATACTACCTATATTAATATCTTAGAAAAGTTCTAAGTCGCCATCGCCGAACCGAAATTAATAAGAATATAAAACTTAGTGATAAAATATATTATTGATACAGCATGACAAAGTACAAGAATAGTGTTAGAGTAACATTTATTAATAGTTTATATGGAAGTTTTAAGTTGACATAAAACTTAGAAACCTATGTATTATACTTTGGATAACCATCTCCTGGAATAGGCAATGGCTGTTTGATCGTGTATTATTAATGGTACCTTCTATTCAGCTGATTGTACGTAATATTTTAACTGCAAATATTTCTTAAGATTAACGGCTACCATATCTCTCATATCGTTTTATGAAAATCAGGTAAAACATTACGCAGAAAAAATTATGAATAAAATTCAATACAATTTGAAATTGTAATTATAAATTACAATAATAGATGCAATATTTATTTATTTACGTTTTGTGATTACCTACTGGAATGTCTCGGAAAGCTCATTTGTAAGACTGGACTAGACAACCAAAACCAAGGAACTTCTGGATGTTTTGTTTAAAGCATAGTTATTCCCTATTGTATTTTCAAACA